ATGAGTGCCCCGGCCAAGTACCACTCCAGAACCGCGGTACCATCCCTCACGCACGTCTGGGCCCGCGCCGAGATTTTGCTAATGGGTGCCCCGGCCAAGTACCACCCCAGAACCGCGGTACCATCCCTCTCGCACGTCTGGGCCCCGCGTACGAGGGGTCCCGGCCAAGTACCACTCCAGAACCGCGGTACCATCCCTCACGCACGTCTGGGCCCCGCGTACGAGACGGCCAAGTACCACCCCAGAACCGCGGTACCATCCCTCACGCACGTCTGGGCCCCGCGTACGAGGGAGGAAGGCCAAGTGCCACCCCAGAACCGCGGTACCATCCCTCTCGCACGTCTGGGCCCCGCGTACGAGAGGGGGGCGGGAAAATTCATAACTCGAGAGCGGGAAAAGATAGAAGGCTGAAACTTTGGGAATATGTGCCCACCAGAACCGCGGTACCATCCCCCACGCACGTCTGGGCCCCGCGTACGAGAGGGGAAAATTTTTGGCGACCAGAACCGCGGTACCATCCCTCTCGGCACGTCTGGACCCCGCGTATGAGAGGGGGAAAGTTTTGGCGGGAAAATTGATAACTCGGGAACGGGAAAAGACCGAGATTTTGCTAAGGGGTACCCCGGCCAAGTACCACCCCAGAACCGCGGTACCATCCCTCACGCAGCTACGCCCCCGCGTACGAGGGGTTGAAAGTTTTGGCGGGAAAATTCATAACTCGAGAACGGGAAAAGATAGAAAGCTGGAACTTTGGGAAGCGCCGAGATTTTGCTAATGGGTGCCCCGGCCAAAGTCGCGGGAAAATTCATAACTCGAGAGCGGGAAAAGATAGAAGGCTGAAACTTTGGGAATATGTGCCCACCAGAACCGCGGTACCATCCCCCACGCACGTCTGGGCCCCGCGTACGAGAGGGGAAAATTTTTGGCGACCAGAACCGCGGTACCATCCCTCTCGGCACGTCTGGACCCCGCGTATGAGAGGGGGAAAGTTTTGGCGGGAAAATTGATAACTCGGGAACGGGAAAAGACCGAGATTTTGCTAAGGGGTACCCCGGCCAAGTACCACCCCAGAACCGCGGTACCATCCCTCACGCACGTCTGGGCCCCGCGTACGAAGGCCAAGTGCCACCCCAGAACCGCGGTACCATCCCTCTCGCACGTCTGGGCCCCGCGTACGAGAGGGGGGTTTTGGCGGGAAAATTCATAACTCGAGAACGGGAAAAGATAGAAAGCTGAAACTTTGGGAATATGCGCCCATACCATTCGCGACCCTCCCATTTTAATATCATCCCCCGCGGACGCCTGGGCGCCGGGTACG